GGGAAGAAGGGGGGGGAGGGGGCGAAAAAGAACGGCGCGAGTTGTGAGAGGGGCCCCGGCCCCCGGCCCCGCCCGGGCGGAGCAGTTTTCCAATCCATTCCTCCGGTCTGGCCGGTGCGGTCCGGCGCCCATGATTTGTGTGTGCTATTGCCCGCTGTGTACCGTTTCTATTTTATCGCGGCCAGCAACGCCGGGATCATTAGGTGTTTGCGCATTTCGTGTGTGCGGTCGAGAGGAGGGGAGGGGAAGGCGGGTGGGGCAGAGGAGAGAGAGATAGCACGATGCAAGGACGGGGGTTGCACTTTTTGACAAGGTGTCGTTAAAAACAAGGCAACAACCTTCTGCAACGATGACGCTGGCACGAAAAAAGAAAAAAAATGTTGTCCGTAGTGGTCAATTCTGCGTGCGATTAATGGTGGAACCGCTGGTTGGAATCGATTTGAACTTATCTTAAATCGTTGCTGACAACCATCGCAATTATCTTTTTCGTGTTTGCACCTCGGTCTGCTCGTGAAGGTGAGTTTTTGACCCGTGGGGACTGATCAGTGTGTTCACCCCGCCGCCCTTCTCTGTGGTAAGAACTTCTTCATCCCCCACCCCCTCCGCTCCCTCCCCGCCGGCCTCAACATTTGTCACGTCGAAAATATAGATTTCTCGTGTCAGACCCGGGTGAATAATCAGGGCTCCATCCGGATTGGACGCGCTGCGGGGGCAAGCACTAGGGCGGGGCGGTGCGCGGCGGTCCTCAGATAGACAGCTGTCCTTAGTTTGATAACTTCATCAAGGAGCCAAGGCCGCCCGCCCAGTTTGCTCGTAGTGGCGATGGTGAAGTTGGCCCCCCCCTGCGGAGCGAAGGGCGAAGGCCGAAATAGCAAAGCAAACACTCCCTACGATTCGTTGTGACTGCGTTCATTCTCTCGAGTTGGCCCCGTGAGGCGTGGAGAGCGGCAGAGGGGAGGTAGGGGGGATAAGGAGGTGGCAGAGTTTTGACATGTCCTTCCTCGTAATTGGATGGCGCTCGCCGGCTCGCCTGCGCGTGTAAGTTGCGCCATCGACCGAGGCGGCCGCGGTCGGGGTGGCTCCAAGTGGGGATCACTGGGTGCGCGAAGAACCCTGGCGCACACCCACCCGGGGGCACCTCGATAAGTACCCGCTGCGGCGACCGGGGCCCCAATACATTATGGGCTCAAACTGCAACATTGTCATGGTTCGGTAACTTTCGCACTCTGTGCAAGTTGCTGATGATTAAAAGATATATTCTGTTGTGTGCCCGGTGTTGTTGTTGTTTGAAATGCGTAAGCTCTTCATAGTGCTGGTGTT